GGGAAATAGGTTTTTTTTGTCTATGTATTTTATTTTTAATTTATTTATTTATTTTTATTTTTTAGAAGTCGAGCAAAGCTAATTGATCAAGAGGGTTTAAAGTCTAAAATTATGAGCTTGTAAGGATTTTTACATTAATAAAATAAATTATAAAATTTAACCATTAGTATTTTACATTTAATCAATGCAACAAGTAGCTCCTTTTAGAAATTAAATTTTTATGGTATTTTACATTTTGTTTTGCAAGAAAATTAGATAGAATTTTATGATGTCATCTTTGTGTTTGCTCGTAAAACTGCATCACCGCAGGGATGCTAGTGATGCAACTCAATTGCTGCTTTTACACGGCGAATTAAAATGCATAAAAATTTACCACTCGCTCTCGGTGGCTCATTTTCATATCAAAAGGGCGCCGAGTGTCATCGTTGCAAAAAGTGCACGAGGTCGCTTTGGAACAAGAGGTGCTTGTTGCTTGTGTGCAATTTATGTTCGCCCGCACAGCAGTGCCGATTATTCAAGCGAGCGCATAGAAAAGCGGTGTGTGCAATTTGCCATGCAGCTGCTTGCTGCGGAAAAAAACGAACCAATGACCATCCGAGCATGCAATAATGTAATAGACGTATTATGGCAAAGGCTTTTAATAGCTGCATACACGCGAGTGTGTAGCCAAGATAAAAAAAAGTAAAAGCGGATGAAATGTTTAATGCATCTCTGCGGATAGCCCACGCAAGTGCCTCCAGTAATTATATGCCGTGGAGGCGGACGGAGATAATCTCTGATTCGAAGAGACGCTTTGATTGATTTTTCCGTCGAAAAAGAGGTTTCGCCGGCAAGATAGATTAATAGGCCGCTTCCGGACGGGAAGAGAGGGAAATGCTTTATTTTTCTCCTCGTGTTTGACTAGATGTCGTTTCGGACGAGCAGGCTGCGACCTTCCTGAACTTGATAGGCTAATTTATTCATGAGAGTTGTACGGTTTCCGAGTTTCAATTTTATACCTTCTTTATTGCAGGGCACGGACGCGTAAAATTAGGGTTAGAAGGAATAAAGTATGTAATCAACTGAAGCTTCGATTGAAAGTTTGTATAAATGATTAATTTTAATAGATTTTCAGAGAGTAAAAAGAATATATTATACTGCATCAAGCTCATTAGTGACGAAGGAAGTGACTAAAGTTAAGTTCTTTCTATAAAACGTTACTCTAAATAAGAAATTTTGAAAATTAGTCCATAAATAAAAACTTAAATTTGGATACTTTCTGACCCATCAAAGTAAAAAATTTTTCCAAATTTACAAATGTGTATCGCTTGAAAACAAATTAATTAACCCTGATTATAATAATGAAATGAATAAAAAAAAATTAATAAGTGACAATTCGAAAGTCCAAATTGATTAAGATCTGTAAGATATTTAAATAAAATTTGTGATAAGCGTTAAAATTTATTTTTTCGTTTAATAATTATGCGCATAATTTTGTGGATGAGTTAATGTATAGGTCAGAGTTGATCAAAATTAGAACCAAATAAAACCAATTTTACAATTAAAAAGAAAGCTTTTTAAAATGAATTTCTCTTATTTTTGCACTCAATGTTTTGACAAAATCTTTGCTAATGGTGGTACCATTGTTTTGATCAAGAATGTTTCCCTTCAATTAAAGTATAATTTTTATTTTAGCAAATAAACAACATACTAATTTTTCTATTTAATAACAAAAAGTGAGAGATCAACTTTAAATTGCACTATTTTATAATTTATATTTGATTTCTTCTTTTTTTTATAAATTTTCCCTAAAATGATTCACTTAACCAAAACCAGTTATTTTACTTTAAAATATTTTAAATATTTAAAAAATAACAATCTACGTGTAATTGTTTCATAATTATTATTTATTTTATCATCAATTTGATTTTCAAAAGAATTTTTTTCAATAAGAAAAAATATGAATGAAAAGAAATTATGTCAAGAAGATTGAGCGACTGAGTGGTGTCACAATTAAACAATGAGATCGCGTATAGTTCACATAGAATATAAAACTCGCCATTCATGCGCTTTTTATATTATAATCAATGTCGCGATCAGCGCGTGAGTGACGTTAATCCCTTTGCGTCGGGTTGGACTGCGCGAATAAAAATGAATGATTTATCGTCGCGCGGCGCGTCGAACTAAAAAAAAAACTCAGTGTTTTACATGCCAGTGGCGTTGATAGCGATCTGCCCGGAGCAGGGAGGTGATCATTGCGCCAGTTATGTCACCAGTGGGTCGCGCGCTAATTAATGCGCGACGAAAAAATTAATTGTGTAAAACACGCGACGCGGTGAATGAATATCGATCAATTTGCAGTGAAAGAGCCGGTAACGAGCAGCGTGGGCTTTCTGCGTTCATTAACGCACTTGTCTCGTTTCAATTATATACATTTGCCCTATATTTATTTGCGTGCACAATGAAACAGTGGCAATTGCAATTACTACCAATAATTAATATACAAATAGCGAGGTTTGCCACAGCTCATCCATTTCCAATTTAATTAATTTAATTTTCACACAACATGATAAATTTCCATTAATTAAAATTTTCATCAGCGTCGTTACGCGCACGAGTTGTGTTATATTAAAATAATCCAAGATTAAATTATGAATTAAAATTTCAATTAACTTAATTGCCGGTCATACGTTATTTGGTTTTGTGACATAACAAAAAAGTAATTAATTAACAAAACCTTCATTTAGACCTTTTGCGGAAAGATAAAAAATTAGTAAAATTAGTTGTGTTTAGGAAATTTCCAAAATTATATTATTTTCATGTTTTATATAATTGAATTTTTGAAAAAAGAAATCAATTAGTTTGAAAGACATTGCATGTTTAACAGCTTGAAAAAAGAAATTGATCAAATTACATCAGCAGCAATTATAATAATGAGTCTAAAAAAAACTTCAAGATTGTTTTTATGTGAAAAATCAGGTTTTGTATAAAAATTTGGTTACTGAGGACAGTGAGAAGTTATTCATTTCAGTTTACACATTCCTAATAAGAAAATATCTAACTGTAATAATTATATTTTGCAAACAGAGAGGTGACGTAGGAATCGGAATTAATCTGTTGAAAGCCGGTGGCTGGGAATGTGTAATCCGAGAGCGAATAACGTTGAGATAATACTCTCTGGCAGACAACACAAAATCTAAATCCGCCCGGATTCGCCATACCGAGTGTCAAGTTTAATTATCCGTCCCGTCAACTCCAACCACAATCGAACTTCCCTTTGCCTATTGAAACGGTTCAAAACAAAGCCTATCGAGGTTTCCACTCAGGAATATGAGAGCTCTACTAATATGCCATGTTTCAATCTAATATTATATTTGACCTCTGGGGAATTGTTATTCGGGGTCGAAATTAAAGGTCAGAAGCGCCCTCCGCCAACGACTGAACGCAAAATTTAATCTTTGCTGCATTTATTTAAATTTATTTAATTTAAAAAAAAAAATGATATTGTTTGTAACTACGAAAAGAAAGCAAAATTGCCATAAAAGTCAATTGAGGTCTATATTTTTATCTTAATAAATTTATTTCTTAATGAATCAAAACCAAAAATTGATAACAGATGCAAAATTGCAATTTTTTACCGTTTATCTGGGAAAAGTGATCGGTTGAGAATTTCCGCGAAAGCATTGAGTGATTTCATTATTGCTCATAAACATTGCATTTTTATGTGCTTCAAATGACGCGAGTGACACAACAACATGAATAAGAAAATAACTCAGTTGGAAGCTGCGCCGAGTTGCGGCAGCGCGCGAGGAAAATAATAAAGATAAATTAACAAGCCGATCCATTTTACATGTAAGGAGATAGGCGCCCTTGCAAAATCATATTAAACGTTTCTTATTTTTATTTTCCATTTTCTTAATGACAGCAGCATGTTGTTGGCAAATACACACTCACAACTCTCTCGTCAGCTGTTACAGTTTTCATTCAATACCACGCTCGGCTGATGCCTGCGTTGATTCGATTTGGCGAACGTGGGAGACAAAGGACCGAATTTTGCATAAGTTCGTTCTCTCGGTGAAGTGCTGATGATTCGAGGACGGAAATAGAATTTCAGCTTGTCTATTACAATTGAATACGCGAGCTAGCAAAATTCACCGGATGCTGGCGATTCTGACAGAATTCGTGAGTTTGCAGAAGTGATGATTTTGCACAAACAAATATTTGAGAACGTTTGACTTTTTCATTTAAAAAAATATTCATAAATTTTTTTTTTAAATTTTAGTAATATTTGCAAGAATGATGTAATTTTTGTAGCTCAATTCATTATTATTGTTTTGATAAAAATAAAATGAATAATTAATTTATTCTATTAACTTAATGAGGAATAAGCTCACTTAACTATTTTTTTTTTTAATTAAGTTACATAAAATTTTGTGATTTCTGTTCCTCAAAAATAACTTTAACTGTAATTTATTCCTCAATAATGTTAGAAATCAGAAGTTAAAAAAAATTTAGCTAAGCTTGTTGCGAAATTAATTTTGGAAGTTACGATTTTAATTTATAATTTTAAACCTATCTAGAATCTAAATTAAAACCTCCCAAGTGAGAAAATTTAATTTTGTGTTGTAATTTACATCTCATTTTACATTTCATCCTGAAATAAATTATTGATTTGCATCATGTCTATTATTGTTAATGAAGTTCTCGCCGCGACAATTTGTCAGCCTTGGAAATGAACAGATCTCGCTTTAGTGAAGTGGACTTTTAACGCGAAGTAAGTAAGTAACTCACTCTCGATGGAAGTCTGATAAATAAATTGAACTTGTCGTCGGCGACATTCGAGTGACAGAATAAGTAGAGAGGTTCGCGTCAATCTGTCGCGGCGACGAGCGTGTCTGTGTGTGAATGTATGTAATTGTCTAATTGCGATAAACGGCGATTGTCGCCCAACAGAACCAGCGGCGCATGCAGGTGAATAAAAATAATGGCAAAATAAATAAATAATATCTCGCTTCACTCACCAGATGTTGATCGTCGCGAGTTTTACTCTCGGCTGCAGCACGGCGCCGCCGCTTCCATATTAGGCCTGATTTTTTCTGCAGCACTGCGTGTTTCGGGGAAACTCCGCGAACCGAAAAGCCGGTCAGAATTAATTTGTCCCTCGCGAAATCACAAACGTGCAATAAGTTCGAGCTTTTGTCTTTTGAGAGCGCATGCCTGCGAATAGGGCTGAAAAATCCGCCGCGGTTTTCTTTCTTTCTTCTTTGCAGCACTGCTGGAGCCGCGAACCATAGCGAGAGTCCCCTCTCTTTATGTGTGACCATAAAAATTGCCCCGGCAATTTATAAAAGCAGCGGTGTCGCACGTATTTATCCTCTCTATGCGCCTTGCTAGGAATTAAAACAAATGAGCTGCTCTTTTGCGGCGCGGCAGAGAAATTTTAATTAACGTCGCGGATTACCATAAATATTGGCTCTGCCTTTTTGCTCTCTTAATTTCGGCGCGCCAGCTTCACCGTCGCCGCCATTTTTTTGCCTCCCCAAATTTACTTTTATTACGCTTGTTTCCAGGCTTAAAACTTTGCGCCAACTCTCTGCTCTCACTATATAAATATACGCTTTCAAGGGTCTCAAAAAGTCGTCCTCTTCTCTCTCCTTTTTGGTAAATACATATTGCCTTTGAAGCCAAAAATGGAAAAACCTCCTCCCATCACCAGATTAATTAGAGCGTGAGAAAATCAGCGGCATTAGCATGAAAAGGCCTGCTTTTTAATTTATTCCGTGTCTCAAATATCAAAGAAATTTTTAGGTTATATAATATTTTGAATCCAGAGTTTTCCCACAGTTTAATATGCATAATTTTTTTTCATTCAATATTTATTTTGAAAGCAACCAAATTATTCCAACGCACAAAGTTTTTTTTTCTTTTTTGGTTTTTTTTTTATGATATACCGGACAAAACGAGTAAAAAACCTAATTAAAAAATATCCGTTTACAATTCAGCTCCTCTTGTAATTTATCTTCATTATTGGTTGTCCACTTTAGAATCGGTTTTTCAGGTGGTAGTACGTGAAGGCGGAAATCGGAGCGCCAGTCGGTTCGTGAGGCAAATCCCCGCATGATGCCGCAATATCCAAATGCGAATACTTGAGTGGGGTGTTTGAACCCAAGCCATGCTGCGCAAATAATTCGCATTTAGCACCAAAATGATTGACAGATAAAAAAATTAATGCCAGCAAAACGTCACAAAATAATCTACACTATCTACGGTTTGCTTTCCTACCTTTTCAAGTCCAGAAGTGATGAGCAGAAAGGCTGCTGGGCCTTGATGTCCCCTTGCAGTCTGACTGGAGGGTTTGTTGTTGCACTGAAGCACATCCTCCACCTCTCCTTTGCCTGAAATAATTTTGCCCTCATATTATCATATTCTTCTTGTTTTAAATTTGACATTTATTATAAATTATGTAATTATTTTCCAACCTCGATGAAATGCGTAGTCTTCACGCCTGATGGTGCTGATTTCGAATGGGTCGCCAATAATTTCCGAGGCACTCTGCAAACTTCTAGCATGACCCTCTTTTCGAGCAACTGCGTTATCCATGCAAATCTGCGAATAATTAATTTACTATCCATCTTTCCTGTTGAGTCTTTAAATGTTATTTTACCGAATAACCTAATCCGACACTCAAACAAGCATGTCCAGTAAGAGTGGCAACAGTCATCAAGTGAGGATTCACCAACTTTTCCTTCACGCACTCTTCTGTGAACTAAACAAAAAATTATTGTTCAATTTTTAATTTCAAAGTTTTATGACTGCACCTGAGTTAGGAGGTCACACATGGCCATTCTGCCCTCAGCATCAGTGTTTCCGATTCTGACCCTGACCCCACTCCTAGCAGTGATGACCTCGTCAGCCACATAACAGTTTTCGCCAACACTGTTCCTCACAACGCCCAACTTGGCTCTCACTTCAATTCCTTTTGGAGCCAAAACACTCAGGGTCTTCAATACAAAATATTAATTATTTTTTAAATTTCATCAAATCAACCAAACCTGCATGAAACCAGCAATGGCCGAAGCACCGCATTTGTCCCTGGACATGCCGGCCATAACTCCTCCAGCCTTAATGTCGGCGCCACCTGTGTCATAGGTCACACCTTTGCCGACGAGGCACAGAGTTTTGTCAATGGGGCCTGCACCTTTGTAAGTTAGGTGGACGATTCGACCCTGATGCCTTTCAATCACTGAAAAAAGTAAAATACTTTCCGTAAATCAAGAGAAATATCAAAGTTTCTAATATATTAAAATTTATAAATGATTACAAATTAAAAACAAACTATTGTAGTTTAATAAAAGAGCTAAAATATTAAAATTTCTTTTCTAAGGAATATGTTAAAAAAATTCTCACCACTAGCAGCACGATTTACAGCTCCGAACAAGGGGTACTTTTTCTCCAACTCTTTTTGATCAGTTTCAACTGAGATCTTAATGTTTTTCGAACCCTCAAAGAGATCAACTAAGTGCTGAGCAAATTTCGGAGGAGCCATTCGCTCTGGATCTCCACCTCCAAGGTCTCGTGCAACAAATCTAATATAAAATCAGAAAAATAACAAAAAATCCAAATGAAATAGATTTATATTTGCCTGCCCTGCTCCATGGCAATGCCCACTTTCAAAAGGTAATCCAAGCGATTCTTGTCTTGGTGCACAACGTAAAGTCCCTGCACCTTTGAAGCTCGACTTTTTACCTCCTCGCGAAGTTGGAGAGGCTGAAGAGAAAAATACAAATGAATTTTTACAGTTTTTCAAAAGTTCGGAGTAACAATATAAATAATAAAATCAATTCATAAAAGAAATTTAGTATTCCCTTGGGTCTCGGCCGGTCTCAACAAGGGTTGCGAGTGAAATCAATTGTTTTGAATAAATATTAAATTCATTTTTGCTTACCACATACAAAGCTTCAAGGACACCCAAAAGGGAGATCAAATCACATTCAGGGTAGTCGGGACTGCTTGGTGGAAGAACCAACACAGGGAACTTGATTCCAGCTTTCAAAGCTCTAAAAATTCTTATGTGAGATGAAACATCTTCAAATTTCCAACTTCTCACCTTTTCACAGCTTTGGCACCAGTTTCAGCAAAGCTCCTAACATCATCAAAATCAGGGTTGAGTGGCCCAGTGGGGGCGTAGACGAGTCTCTTCTGTGGCAGCTGAGTTTTCAGGACGGCACCTTCCGAGTGCAGAGCTTCGTCCACTCCAGCCTGATCCTCAATTGGAGCAAAAAGAGCAGAAGGGAGGCCTGAAGACTTTGCCGTCTCCAATTGTTGGCAGATGAGCAAAATTCCATCACTTGATGGCGCATTGTCAAAATCAGACGCACCAAAAACTGGGCATGGCAGCCTAAATTTTCTCATAAAGCATTAATATTCATTTTTTTCTCTAAATAAATTAATTAGCAAAAATGTAAGATGAAATTCTAATTCAACAAAATTTATGAAAGAATATGAAATCAAATTGAAATTTTTGATTGATAATTTAGTAATTTATCTTTTCTTCGAATATTTTATGCTTGATTTAATTGTTCATATTCTTTAAAAACTAGTTAATGAAAATATTTTTTCATAAATGAAATAATTGATGGATTTAAAAATTAAAAATCTCTCTTATTGAGAGCAATAGAAAACTTAATCTTACGTGTCCGGCTTCATTTTTGACCGTCCAATCACAATTCACACGGTTGATCTGCAAAAAAGTATTACAATAATGCAAAATGTCAACGTGCAGCGAAGCGAAGCGATTTGCTGTGACAAGTTGCAGCAGCTTAGTAGATCCCCAAGTGCAGAGATAAAGGCGCCAAGAACGTCGAGATCAGTAGATAAATAATGAGTCCCGCTGTGTTTCAACAGCAGCTTTCATGTGACTCTGAGTGGGCAGACCAACAAAGTAGATTAGTTTTATCGTCATCTCCTCGTGCCACCACATTTGAGAGAAATCAACTCCCTCTTTCAATGTCAGATAACAGTACAGTTAAATTAGAGCACCGACTTTTGTTCATTTTATGTTACGAATGTATGGGCGTCACGTTTGAAAAAAAAGACCAACGGAATTTTAACGTTCACAGCCAAAAACTAGGACAATTTAAGCCGGATATTGAATTACATTCAAGAAAAAGTTTCAAATTTTGATTTTTGATGGCTTTGAATGCCACATTAAACGAGGAAAGGGCAAAAACTTACCTAAAAATGAGATCGAAAAATTATTTTTGTTTTGGGTTTTGTTGACCAAAAAACCAATTGTCATCCAGGTGGCAGCACGGTTCCTTTTTTGACCACTATTGGCGCGAAATGCACGTGCAAGCTTCTAACCATGTTTCAATATTCAGACAGCTGTATTTCAACTCTGTTTTTGAGATATTAGCTTGAATTTGAAAAAAATTAATTAGTTTATAAGTAACTAATTAATAGAGATTGAGATATATTAAATAAATTCTTCATTCACTGATTTTAAAGAGCATATTTTATCTGAAAATATCGAAACACATTTTTGTGTTTTACGTTTTCTTTTCATAAATTCTTTTTAGGATTCGATTTCCAAAATAAAACATACAGTGTATTTTGTGGTAGTTATAAAATCTCTTTTTTCTTACACCTGCATAAGATACAGTACAATGAATGCATTATGTTGAAAAACATTGTTTATTTTATTGATTTTAAATATTTTTTTGCAATAATAATTCTTTAATAATAATTGGTAATCAAAGATTCAATCAATAGACTTTGACAGCTCGTTCAGTGTGTTTTTCAGCAACCTTATAATGATTTTTGTCGAGAATATAAATACCGCACATAAGTGGCATAAAATACAGTAACAATAGAATAATACAATTCGAAAAACAGTAGCACGTTCTCGAAAAAACACGAAAATGAGTGTAAAACAGAGGGAGAGAAATAAGGAGAGAAGGCCGCGTGTTGATTTTTCGTTACATATTAATTTTTTATAATTTTCCTTTCTATTTGCCTAAAATGAAGATAATTTAAACGCGCGTTCCTGTGAATAAAAAAATCACAATAAAACACGGCAAAGTATCTGAATACAGATTTCTGCTTGGACAAATATTCTTGTACAGCGATAATTATAATTCAATTATACACCGGAGGGAACTGAAACTCATACACAATTATGCAAAATTGTTCACAATCAACAATCATGGCTGGTAAAACGTCACAATTAGAATATCATTTTCCACTTGCGTGGTCATTATTTTTTTTCTTTGCGTTTGAGTGAGTGTTTAATAAATTTTCTTATTTACAACCACTTTTGCTTTTGTATGTTCACCCCACTTTGTTAAAGTTTGCTTTAATTGCACAATAATAAACGCGACTCGTCAGCAACAATAGAAAATAATGGCTGCGTGTGTGTGTCTGTTTTTCCCGTTGTTCGTACAATGTTTTTTTATATTGATTACTTTTTGTTCTCATAATCTCACTTAATTACCGCCTATCAAGCATCAAGTGAATTTTCTCTTTTTTAATTAGTTTTATCTTTTTAATACAACTTGCTAATCCGATTTTGCTTTGATTTGAATTCGCTTATAACTTATGTTTCTGTTTTTCAAATATTAAAGCAGTCAGCGTATCTTCTTTTTTCTTTAAATACTCGGTATTGATCAATATTCTTTGCATTCGTTTAAATCGAGTAATTAATTAATTAATAAATCCGAAGAGTGTCTGTTTGAGTGTAGCTGCAGATGACCAAGTACGATTTTATTCATTATTTCCTCGCTTGTTAATTAATTAATTGTATCGCTATTTGATTGATTTTTATCCTGCTGGCCGAGAAAAAGAAAAATGCTGCAAATACTCGATCAATCAAGCAATCAGTCAATTATTCATCAATCGACCAGACAATCTACATTTTCTCACCACCACGATAAAAAAATTGGCAGGGCGTTTCTCCAGTATTCTCATCTTTTTCCTTTAATTGTATTAATAATGCAGTAATAATTATTTTTTATCTCAATTCTGTGGTTACAAGGACGTTATTTGATAAAAAGCGTAGTGTTGTTTTTTTTTTCATTTATAACCTCATTTATGTTTCAAAATTCCGCCGCAATCACTTCAGAATAGCCCAATTGTTCAAACGTTTTGTGTTCGTGAATTATAATCTTCTCCGTAAGCGATCGTCGAGTAATAATTAACGAGTAATTAATTCAATGTTTAAGCTACAGTTTAGTTTTAATTTAAGGACGGGCGTAAAATGTGTGTTTGTGTGTGAGTGTGTGTATTTCTCTGTGTGTTTGTGATCTATTTATACAATTTTCTTTTCGCAATAATGCTCTAAACTTCAAGACCTGGTAATTTTCATTTTTTTTTACTCATTATTTAAATGTAAAAATGTTCGCCAAAATCAACACTCTGATTGGGTTACAGGGGGGTACAGGGTAGTTTTTTACTTATAAAGCAGAGAGTGTGAAAGAGATAGAGAAAGAGAGAGAGATTGTATTCGTACGTGTGTGTTCGGTTCTTTTTTATAATATCTTCTTCTCAATTGTTGTGATCAATAACGATTGTTGTCATGCAATTTGCGTGATTGATTGTTGATCGGCAAATTTGAGAAGCGAATAAAACGTAACTTCGCATCCATTATTCATTATATTCCCGCGTTTCCTACAGATTTATTAATTCGTTTTTCTCCTAAATTTTAATTACCTCCGAAATCTACTACTGCGAATGAGAGAATATTTTAATTCGCTTATAACTTTCTTTTCGCTGCAGCGGTGAGAAAATTCGCTCTGATTCCTAAGTAGGGGTGAAGCCAGAGTTTTATCGCAACTTTCGGACTCTCAGCAAAAATGATAATTGAAAAAAGGCAAATAGGAAGATCGGAATGGTGTATGTATTTTCCATATTTATCAGATGCGCGCGCGAAAAATCCACTCTGCGGGCGGCGAGTTTGAACGACTTTTCTCAAAATTCAAATCGTCTCGCACCGAGAGTTAATGATTTTTGTAACAACTCTATGAAGTGTGTGTTTGTTTGTGTACTTGTGTTTGTGTGTAATTTGCCACAGCTTGTTGGTATGTATTTTATCTGGAGATAACGAGAGGGGCTATCTGCTTTTCTTTTACATTAAAAGGGGGGAGAGGCGTCTGGTTATATCTTCGAGTAATTTAATTAACTCTGCTCGCTTACTGGAATTACAACTCTGCAGGTAAAGGAGAATTAATTAATCATCAATCGATCCGCTAGTCTTGCAAAGAGAGAGTAAGAGAGAGATAGAGAGTGTGTGAGTTTAGAGAGAGTTAAACTAGCCCCCTCGACCGCCTCCGCCGGCACCCTCGCCCCGCCTGAATCATGCACCCCCGTGACGGGGCCAACGACGGGGCGAGCGTGAGCCGAGGTCTTATAGTTTTAAACCTTATAATCTGGCTAAGGGTCTAGCAGTTAAGTTAAATGGTGGCGCGCTTTTTGCATCATTTTTATACTCTTATTAGTCGATCAAGACTCGAGACGGCATCACACTATAGAAACTTGTTGCTTTGTAGTTTAAGTCGCATTCGCACTATTCGTAATGAGAGAGGGGCAGCAGAGAATTAGCACGAGTCACCCTTGCTTGCTTCCTTAAATTTGCGAGAAAAAACCGAAACGCTCGTCGATGTACGTGTGTGTTTGTGTGGCTGGCTTCTGAGAGATGAGAGGAATGGGACGTCGTCGTCGTATATGATGGGGGCAGTCAAGAAATCAAAGCGCACATTTTAACAAATTTTTCTTTTACTGCAGTGCTAGCTAAGCGCCGTGTGTTTTATGCAACTTTATATCACATTAACGTTTGGAATCAAAAAAGATATGCGGTGTGCGCAGAGACGACCCGCCCGCGGGCCTTGGGCTGCCGATTTGGACCGAAAGGGCCTCAAACTAATACAAACGGGCTTGATACGCGAACCGAGGGCGGGACGCTCGCGACCCTGAATAATTAAATACACAGATAAAGATTTTTTTTGTAAAATATCAGCACGCGTTCGAAAGAATGGGAAAGAAAGAACAGAATTTTGATATGAGAAAGGCGACTGACCTGTGGTAATTGCAAAAGTCGCAATTTCCAAATTTCAGTTTTGTTTCCTCTTCGGCTGCCGAGTTGATAAAAAGAGGGGAATAAATAAATTTTACAATCAAAAAAATAATAATAAAGCGCGAAACATGCCAAGTTTGAAGATTATTAGGGATGAGAATCAAATCGCATGCATCTTGCGGAGTGAAAAACGACTTAATCCAAATGTAAGTACTCTGCTTCCTGTCGGCTATGCAATTAGCTAAATGTGGAGGCTTTCCGAAAGCCTTGTTATTTAACTGCGAACGTGTGTCTCATGAGTGAGGATTCGATTGTGTGTGTATAATGCGTGTGAGTTTGAGAGAGACGAGTGAGTTTCAATAATAATGAGAGAATTTAATAACCACGATCCCATCAATGCGCGAGTGAGAGTTAATTATTGACTGACTCATCTAATTCTCAAATATACTTGTAAATAGTCGTTAAACTCTACAAAGGGATGCTAAATTTTATGACTAGAATATGAGCTCTTTTTCCCTAAAATTATGTTCTCTGCTCTTAAATCTCATTGTTTTAACGATTCTCATTTTGCCTTGAGTTAAATTTTTCTGAGTGTTTGTGTTTCCGCTTTTTGTTTCGTGAAGCAGCGATAACAATACGTAATTATATAAGAATACAAATCCGCTTGTCGTTCTATATGTTCAACAATCATAATGCACGAAACTCAAAGGAGAGAGAGTATATAATAGTATCATTCTCTAGAAAGAAGTGTGGTGGCACACAACGTTATACATTCGGAGAGCAGAATCAATGAGTCTCGGATGAAAGACAGAGTAAGTACATGTTCAAAACAATGCAATAGAGAGGGAAAGGGCAGCTGAGGAAGATTGATTGATAGATAGTTTAGTTTAGCACAGCGAGAGCCGGCGCCCGATTCGAACTCGCGAAGCTCGGATGTGCGGCGTAACAACAACTAAACACAACCGCGCGCGTGTGTGGACAGAGATAGAGCCATGATTGATTAATTTCATATTATTATTTCTTCGATTCGCCGGAACAGAAATTGCTTCTCGTCATTGTAAGCGGTCGTTTTCTCCGCCGGGGTGGGAGGGCAAGGGTTATTCGCAAACCATAGGTCGAAAATATGGAAGGAGAGTTATTAGTACAGTAATTAGATGCTAGATAGTCAAGACAGGAGGAGGGGAGGACCTCATCCGGTGAGTCTGCCTCAAACGTGATTTGATTCAGTAAAAATAATTGCATTTCATTTCTTCTTTTTTTTACATTATGCCATTTGGACACATCAGTACAACGAGGGACCCGCGCTCGCCTCCCGCCTTCAGGACGTGCGCCCTTGAATTTCGGCTGGGGTGACCGGCCCCCAAAGTTTTTTTTTCTATTTGATTCTCCGCAACTTTCGGCTCCCCGTCCTTAGGTGGAGAGAGCGACTTTGGTGCGCGCGAGTCCCCGGAAAGTAATTGCAACAACGATGAAGTAACAATATATCTGGATAAAAACATGACGTGCATTCACACACTTCTTTTACTGCCACTGTCTTTATTGTAGAATTACGCTGGATAAAAGTCCGCACTATTAATCTTTCAGAAACTGTTGGTTGGTTTTTCGTCCCTCGTCGAGTAAAATACATAATATTGTTTCATTAGCGTATTTGAATATTTTCTTTTTTGTATCTCGTCGGATTCCAACACTGCGTCCGGTTTTGCAACAATTCAACTCGAGCGCGCAGCTGACAATCGAAAAATCGCACGGGGCGCCACTTTGGGGACGGTTGCTGCAGCTGTGCTGTCCAAATCCGGCGGCCAGACGTGCGATCGTCGTTCGGTCTTTTTTGCGCCGGCACCCCTTCTGATAAAACTCAGGAGTGGTCCGTTTGTTGGTTTTGTTACAATTTTCCCTTTTTTGTGTTCGATTCTTTTATGTATTTCACTGCGCAAAAGTTGCAGCCGCGCGGCTCGTCGGTAAAAATAACACATTATACAAATGTCCGTTTTTGATGCGCACGATTTTTTGAGCTGATTTGAGAGCTTATAAATTGATTACCACCACAATATTGCTGAAATATATAATAACATGCTCTTTTTGCTGTTGCGTCTACTGGGGAAAATTATTTTTTTTATACATCTTTTGTCTTTCTCTTCGCATGAATCGGTTGTTCTACAAAGAGAAATGAGTGTGTGGGTGTTTTTTTTCTGGCGATGACAAAAATGAACCGTCATGCAAGCTGGAGTAATCACAATCGAACGAGAGAGCGAAAGAGAGGGAAAAATCACCGTGTCAAATTCGCTCGGAAGAAGCTACGATTATACAATTTCGCGATTTATTATTATTTTTTCGTAGTAATTGTCGAATTGGTTTTCAGTTTTTCTTAACAATTGTCTTATGAAATGTCGGGTGTAGCGCTCTTTAGTTCTTAAGTAGCAATAGCGGCAATTATAATTCAATTACAATAAGAGTAATAATTATAGTGTGTATGTGTGTGTGTGTATGTGTGTGTTGTGTGTATGTGTACTGGGATTCGTCAAGCAGCAGCTGCGGATTCTAGGCGAGGCAGCGACGTGTACACGACCAACTCTAAGCGTTCACCGCCGCCATCAGTTCTCAACACAGCTGCAAATAAGAATGGCTAATTAATGACAGCTCAAAATTTAATCCAATTTATTCACAGTAACGAAAGTATAAATTTGAAAAAGAAATTCAGAACTAGTGATTTATATAGCTGATTATGAAAATAGACATTGAGGCTAATGATTGAGTTTTTATTTTTTGTAATTTTGACGAAACTTTAGAATTCAGACATATTTTTCAAGGTATTTTAGTTGCTTGCATTGGATCCATAGAGTAAGATAAATTTTCATTAGATAGTTGTAAAAGGTGATTTTAAAGACATTTTTAGAGAGAATAATTTGCTCAACAAATATTTAAAATTCAAAAGAATTTCTTAGTTTCAGCAAGCAATAAAAGATATTGAATTCCATTAAATTCCACCTAAAAATTCTTAAATCTGTCAAATTTTTATATGAAAAAAAAAATTAGTTTTATGCACTGCTTTTACTTAGGACAAATGAAATTGTTTCAATGAAAGTTAAAACTGAAATCTTTATAATTTAATCAATTATTTAATATCTAAATGAAGAAAGTGGAATACTAAATTTTATTATATTTTTTTTAATTTTCTCAAAAAATAGCAATATTTAAATTGAGCTTCAATTCAAGGAATCGCAATAAGGAATTTGTTGATAATACTCTTGTCTAACTATTGGCAAACAGATTCGAAAAAGTTATTTAGAGCAACGGCGTTGTCAGTCATTTGAGAAAAGTTATGACAGGGTCGGCGAGATGGTACAAACCCAGTAGTCAGACGTCTGTCTCGATGCTGACGGCGTTGATATTGTTGTTGCATCGGTTGGCCGTGGCCGCGGTGGTGTTGCAGTTCTGCTTTTTGGCTAGCAAGGCCGGTGCGAGGGCCGCACTGGCCGGGGTGCATGCAGTCGCTGGAGTGTTGGACTCGTGCTGGCCCAGCAGAATGCCCTCCTCCAGCTCCATTATGTCCGACGAGGACTCGGAGAGTGAACTCTTTTTCAAGTGGGCACCTGCAAGACAAACAAGCCGAATGAGGTCACGCCGAGGAGTTGCTCAATTTAATCACACTCAGCTCCCTCATGCCCTGCTCGTTCACACATACACACACACACACACACACACACACACACACACACCCGATATATTAATTAAGGAAGGCCGGGCAGAAAGCGCGTCGTTGGCCTATTGATCGCGCCGCGCGCTATTTCGATGATGATATGAACCACCAAGAAGGTCGACCGGCTTTTTATAGAAGCGAATCACGCCCTTTGCCAAAAGAAAGCAAGCGTGCTGCGGCTGCTGTCAGAATTAAGGGAGCAGCGGCCGGCTCTTCTTCTTTTAGCGCCAAGCAGGAAATGAATCCGCGCGCGTCAGATCGATTTGAATGGGCATTATTGTTGAGCGGGCGCGCGACTCCTCGCAGATGGCACCCCTTCTGATCGACCAGAGAGACCACTTGGGAGATTAAAAATAAAAAATGGTTCCTCCTGAACTTCTTGGTGGCACTTGCAAAAGTATACCATCATATGTCTATTTGCAAAAGTTATCAACGTTGAATTTATTTTTAGCTCGGACCTTTTTTTAAATCTATAAAATCCAAAAGTTTTGAAAAGCAATTTTAGAGAAATAGTAGGCTAGGTTTAAAAAATTGCAATAGAATATTATAACGCTTAAAATCTGCACCTTAATTTCATTTAGTCAAAGGAAATATGTTTATTTTTCAAGGTAATTATAGCAAAATAAATTGTAAAAAAAGCAGTTTTATTTGGAAGAGAGATAAGATAATCTTTCAACAGGGATTTAAAAGCGGTGAAAGTTATGGCTTTAATAAAATTGAGAAAATATATTAAAAAGGTTCATTAAGTATTGTAAAAATAAAGTTTCAATCAAAAATAAGAATATTTCTCCTGATGTTAATTTCAAAACTTAAAGCTCCCTTGGACTTATGTATTTCTAAGATTAAAATTTATTTGAGGCATCCTCAACCTGTATCAAATGCACTAAACGCAGCTAACGCTTTAAAGAGACCTTTGAAAATACGGTGCAACACAAGAAACAAATTCAAAATTAATTTTATTGCATTTACTTGGAGCTGTGAGTGGTGGGCGTAAATAAATCTCTATTATTTTGATTAAAGAAATCATTCATAGAACATTTTACTTTAGAAGAAAAACTACCATTTTTACATTAAAAACTTTTTTTGAATATTACAAATTAAACCGTTCAATAATTCAAGCCCAAAAATTCTAAAAATCAATTCCTGGCATTTACTAAAAAAGCTTTGAGTACTTATTTTCCCAATTATCAACTATCAATGAAAACATAAATATTTATAATCACTCTTTTGTTCTTCTTCTAATATCCAGCTTTTTATGCTACTAATTTTCTCAGAATCCGATTTAGAACTAAATAAACTTACAAAACAACCCGGATAAATTCCGTACTCATTTTCAACCAAAATCAATACATACAGCTCGGCTCTTTTCAATCAGTCCAATTCTCACCTAGAGTTCCTGGCAGATACGGGCAACTGGTGACGTGGTTGAAGTTCTGCGACTGCATTTCCTCTTGATCAGTCTCGCGATGGTAGAAGTAGTTGAAGTTGGATACAATGACAGGCACAGGAAGGGCAATGGTCAGCACACCGGCTATCGCGCACAACGAACCCACCATTTTGCCCCACACTCCGACTGGCCTGTATTCAGGAGAGAAGAGTTAGCAAGTGAGACGGCGGCTCGCGAAATCGGGGCCACGAGTGGCGATCCGCATGATCAATGAGCGGGGTGCGTGCAAGGACGGTACGTGCTCGGCCCGCGGCCCGAACGTGCGACTCAAAATTGAGTGTGTCACAATTTTGAGGCCGGGCCGCGGCCACCGCAGGGGGGACAGATGCGTGTGTGCTGGAAAGAGTGAAAGCAGAGGGTGCACGTGCAGCAGAACATGCACAAAGTAGTGTGAGAAATATTTCGCACAAGACAGCAAACAGGCTTTTATTGCGAATGTTAACTGGCTTTGAAACTGGCTCTAATATGCACAAGTCGGTCGGCGCATCGATTTTCTCATATATGTATGAGAGATAGAGAGAGAGAGAGATTTGCTTGGTTATGTGATTTTATAGTGAGTGCCAATCGCAGAAAAAATATATAATTCCATCAGGCAGCTAGTTGGGAGACGGCGTCGAGTTGCACTCTCTGCCCCAGTGGGAAGGGAAAAAGTGCAACCGCCAGCTCGACTCCGCGGGCAGTATAATTAATAATTTTGGTTCTTTTCTGAATTGTTTCCGTATATATATGAGATGATTGTTAGTTGATTTTTAAAAACTGTGGTAGCAAAAAAGGAAAGAGGAGGCAATCAAAAAAACGTATGTATATATGCGCGATTTGCAAAAGTAAAAACTGGTAAGCAAATTACGTCATGTCTCCGTATCCCACAGTGGTCATGGTCACCACTGCCCACCAGAAGGCGTCTGGGATAGACTTGAAGTAAGAATTTTCAGAACCAGCCTCAGCGAAATACACTGCGCTTGAGAAGAGAACGACACCTGCAAGCAAATCGGCGACAGTTTACGAAAACGCATGAGAGGAAACACAGAGAGCGATCGAGAGCAGGTCGCGCAGGTCCAGTATTAATTAAATATAATGCAGTTATTTCTAAATATTATAAAAAAATAAATGACTGGTGATGATCAGAAGTTATGTGATTCTTGATGATGAGATATATTGTTAAGTGAGTATAAAAATATAATTTTGCTCGCGAGCGAAACGGAGAACGAGATGAGTGAGAGAGAAAGAGCACGAGTTGCCTCTCTTTCTCTCACTCACTCACAATATCAGCTTCCGCCCCTAGGAAGAAAATCAATAAAGCACACTGTGTATTGTATGGCATGGTGTGTAGAGAGTGAGTATCAGCCTGCCCCACACAACAACATTCTGCGCCAAATCTCAAGCAGCGTTTTCGTAAGCTCTCTCGGACACAATGACTCTGTCTGTATATACATATATATTTTTTTTCTATGTTTATATATTTATATAGAGACGAGGTTTGTAGACACATTTCGTTCGTGTGAGAAAATCAAGTGGTCGAGAGCTAGGAGGGACACCGACGCACACACACGCACAACACACACTCCGGCGGGACGGCGACTGCGCCATCTTGCTCGGGACGCCGTCGTCGCCGCCGCCGACCGCCCTGGTCAGGGTCACCCTGACACGCATTAACTCAAAAGGTCCAAGATATTTACACGAGTGGCTGTTTTATTTATAGTAAAATTGGTCCGCGCGGTTGACTTTTAGAAGCAATTATTTAGTTTCTGGAAATACCAGATTTTATGAAGTGAAATTTTTGGAGGATTGATGTGACGCTGAAGTAATGTCGATCATTTAATTAACCTCAACTATTTCTAATATTTGAAAGTTTTCTTTCATTTAATCCTGAAAATATAAATAAATAATGTTGCAGTAGGTCTTGACCATATAAATAAAAAAATTGAACGTAACCGTTCCCTATTTTGATATTATGCCACTTTGATTTAAAAATTGAAATGAACCAAGATTAACCATACCTTAAAGTAGTGCCAGAAATCTCTGCTCTCAAAAATTTGAAGCGATTAATTTTTTTCCGAAATGCCTCCATAACTATATTTTTTTAATCTATTACAAGAAAGATGTATTGAAAAAAAAATGCTTCTTTCAAGCCAGAATAATCCTTGCAGATCAAAATTAAAGAGCATTCAAAAAGCCACCTTTTTCCTTTCTCTCGGCCTTTTGGAGGCATAATCTGTACAGTGAAAGAAAACCCCCGAACTCTCTCGTTGAGATTTATTGATATAAAAAGAGAGTAAGTAAGTAAATATCTGCGGATCCAAATGAACTTGTATATATAATATATGTATGAAACAGAGTAAGAAATGAAAAAAAGATACACACACGCAACACAAGCAACAACGAGCCGTGTCAATGTACAAGATAAAGAGAGAAAGAAAAAGAGAATGGATAGACAGAGAAAGACGGACAGACAGATAGATGGATTTGTACAATATATAGAGATAGAGAGCAGACAACAGCGAGTAGTTGATCTGGAGTCGGGTCGGGTTACCTCATGTCGCCGTATCCGACCGTGGTCATGGTCACCACTGCCCACCAGAATGCACCTGGAATCGACTTGAAATACGACATTTCCGACCCCGACTCGGCGAAATAGACTGCGCTTGAGAACAGAACCACGCCTGCAAGTGCGACGGCAAAATTCACAATAGTAAGTTAGCTTCGAGTTTGCCCGGCCGGACAAGCGGCGCGGACGGAAATAATTGTTAGTGAGTAAGCAGCAGAGAGAAGAGAACACTGCGCTCGGCGGCCGCTCCCCACCGAAAGGCTGAAAGAGACTTTGTTAGGCGCCGAGTGCGGCCACCCAATGGACTCAAAACTCGGTAATTTTATATTTATTTGGTATAAAAAGTTTGATTTTGAAGGAATGAATAAAAAGTTATCAAGTCTCTCTTTTTTTCAGCTCAAGTAAGATAGAAAAATAAGGGACATATCCGAGATTTGGTTCAGTGGGGGTCGTTCGGCCAACAAGGAAAACCAGAGCTGGAAATGAGAAGGAGAAAAGTGCGTTGAGCCATACTCACCTATAAATAGGAAAAATATCAAAAGTCCTAATTCCCTCATAGAGGCTTTTAGTGTCCTTCCAAGAATTTGCAAGCCTTTAGAATGCCTTGAAAGTTTAAATATTCGGAAAACACGCACAAGTCGTATCACTCTCAAGATGGCCAACGACATGGCTTGGTTAGTACTTTTGTCTTGCGGGGAAACTGGCGCCTTGGGCAACTGTATCTGTTCATCTTTCTCGGCCACCACAGTCGCCAAGGTGATAAAGTATGGAATGATCGCGATTATATCGATAATGTTCATGACGTCGCGAAAAAAGTTCAACTTGTTGGGGCAGGCAAGGAATCGGACCGACAGCTCGAACGTGAACCAAATGATGCAGATGGTCTCGATCAGGAAGAAGGGGTCTGTGATGTCGGGCACCTCGTCCTCCTCGATCTTTGTGCCGTTCGTCGTAGTATTAAATACTTTGTAGTGCTTGAACTCGGGCAGAGTCTCTAGGCAGAATATCACGATTGACAGCAGGATTACAACTACACTGATGATCGCCACCACGCGCGCTGCCTGCGAGCTCTCCGGGTACTCGAACAGCAACCACACGTTTCGCTGGAACTCGTGGTCCGGCAGCGGCTTCTCCTCCTCCTTGATGAAACCTTCATCCTCTCTGCAAAAACACACAACAAAAGCAGTATTTAGTTTAGATTCTAAATAATTTAAAAATACTTGCAAAGATTAAATAGAACTATTCAATATTGATATTAATTAAAATTTTGCACCCATCTCTTTTGAAATTATTCTGAAACTATAAAAAAATAAAAAATAAATTTATAAAAATGTCAAAAACATTAGCCTTTACTGCAGGTCACAATTTAGACCCGCTCCTTGATTAATAATTGAACTTTCTTTAATAATTCATGACAGTTTAAAGGCGAATTCATGAAGAATAAAACAGTTTAATAATTCAATTGCAAGGGTCTGAGTTGGGTTTGTTGAATGTAAGCGTGGAAAAAGGGTTTTCCGAGCAGAGTCACGTGCGTCACCTGAATTTGTTGGTGGCGATTTCCCCAAGCTCGTAAAACTTGATCTCCTCGGAGAAGACATCGAGTGGGACGTTGACCGGCCTCCGGAGGCGGCCGCCGCTCTGGTAGTAGTAGAGGATGGCGTCGAAGCTGGGCCGGTTTCGGTCGAAGAAGTACTCGTTGCGCAGCGGGTCGAAGTAGCGGATGCGGCGGGCCGGGTCCCCAAGCAGCGTGTCTGGAAACTGGTTGAGCGTTCGCAGCTGCGTCTCGAACCGCAGGCCGCTCACCTGGAAAGACAGTGACCAGTGTCAAAATTTCCAACTGACGAGCAAAATAAAGAGAAAGAGAAAATTCAAGAATAAAAAAAAAATGATAAGATTGGGACTGCAACTTGCAACGCTTCTAAGATGAGCGGGTTGCATAATTGTGAATTTTCAGGCGATATTAAAATTTTTCATAAATGGGAAATTCTTTAAATGTTTTAGACTCCCGCGTGTTAATTCAGCTTTGGATTTTTATGGAGGGGATGGACTAATGCACGCGGTGTCACTTTTAAATGAGAGCAATCTATAAAAAATAGCTGCAAAGCGTGCAGGGCCGTTTCGCGCCGTCTTTGTGTCAAGTGTGAGGCGTGGATTTGCCAGCCAGCACAGCGGAGGGTCGGAATCGGGGTCAGGGGAAAGAAAGAAAAGAAAAAAAGAGTAGAAGAAGCAGAAATGCAGAAGAGTTACATTGATCACGACGCGCTCGCAGAAGTCGTGGTCGTGGGGGATCGGCTCAAAGTTGACCACGCCTGAGAACTCGCGGTGTTGCGGCCCATCCTCATCTTGGCTGCTCAGTTTCGGCAACGACCTGCGAATCGAAACGATCAGAATCAGTCAAAAAGCTCACAAATTAATAAATTGGTTGGATTAATATTAATAGGTTCTTCTTTTGGAGGTATATTTTTTCTCTGATCGGGCTGAACCTTTACATTATTTACTATAATTTTTATTATTAGTTAATTTGAAAATAATCAAACTAGAGTGTATTTAAAAACTTTCTTTTTTAATTATTTAATTTCCATTTTTGAATCGTTTGCCTCATTTAAAACTTGTCACTAGGTAAGAAACAGATTAGGCCAATGTTATAATATTATTTGTCTGTGTAAAAAAAACATTGGTTGTAAGATAAAATTAAAATATCTGGAATAATAGATTGTTTCTTAACTAAATGTTAACTTCACGTCGATTGAACACACTTCAAAGTTCATTCCTATAACTTTGATCATTCGAGAAACTCGCTAGGCACAATATTAATTTTATTTTGATCCCCCGACTTTTTCAGCAAGAGACGCCGGTTTAGTTCGCAAACATTTCCCCCAGAAATCTTCTGCTATTAAGATTCAAAATTGGACAAACCAAACAACTTGTTTAAATGCGGCTTTGCAGCAAAATTTGTCATAAACAACTATGTTTTCCCTTAAATGTTATTTCTGAAAATACAGCCGACTTGAGTTACAGGAAAACAAAATAATATTATTCTAATCTGATGTAGATGAGAACTCCAAGCTTCAATGCAACAAAAGTGATTTTCTCCTAAATTTTGAGTTGATGCGAAATTAAAAGTATAATTTTTTTTATTAAATAGACAAACACGTTATCAATTTGCCTGACTAAAATATGTAATTATTCGAGGTGTACAATTTCAATATAAGCCTTAGGCTCTGTGGCGGAAAAACCAATCAGGAGCGTCCATTTTATGCGTCACTTTGCGCCTCCACTTCCTTTCCTTTTGCGATGAATAATTTTTTATTTTCCCTGTTCGTGTTGCGGATCATTTTGTAAAACACACATTCAAAAGGAAAAGAGCGCCAATTAATTAAATACTTGTATTTTCCTTCATTCTGGGAAATTAAATTGCGGTGCAGCTAGAAGTGTCTCTGCGAATTCCAGGGAAAGCGGAAAGTATAACGCGCTAAAAAAACACATTCGACCCCCTCGGGGGGTTGAGGGGGCTCGCAGGGCCGTCGAGCTTGGACGCGTTTCGGGTTGCGAGCCCCAGGCGGGATGCCACGTGAAGATGGAACAGAGGGCAGCAGCCAAGTAGAGAGAGATTTTCCGCACAGTCAGAAAATCGATTTTATATCCGCAACGACAAGTCAGCCAGTGTTACAGCGCCTGCCCCACTCACCCCAACTCCCGCCCGCACGCCCCCGACAACCCCCGCGCACCAGGAAAAAACCAAATTCGCCCAAATTCAGAGCCGTTCTTTCTGCGTTGGCGCCGCTTTTGGGCTTGGTGCGCATTTGCCACTTGCAATCGAGAGCTCGACTGCGGAAAAACTTGAGGATGGAGTGTTTTTGACGGTGGAATTCGCAGATTGGGCCTTAAAGAGGGCGTAACAGGTTTGAAGGAGGGTGTTTTGCAGAAGTGGAATCATAATATCAAATAAGATTGCTACGTTTTTTTTACGATATGCCATGATTTCAGCAGCGATAATAGTTTTGAAACAAAAATTAATCATCCCTCACAATTTTTTTCATTAAGAAAATAATGACTTATTTTCTTAAAAAACTTGCTGCGGTGAACTGGAAGGAAATTTTATGTTCTCTTTCTTACTTCTTTTAAATGAAAATGTAATTAAAACTTTCGTAATTACAACATTTACAACGAAACTAAATTTAATTTGAAAAATGAATCTTTCCTTGCCAATGAATCGTGTCGTGTTTTTATTATGATACAAGCAAGAAATTCTTGGTCTTTTGAAAACATTCAAAAATTATATGTAAAATTAACCCGTAAGAAGATTTTATTTTGAAACAAAATAAATTATTGAATATTTATAAATTGTTTTCTATATTACAAAATAAATAAAATAAGCAAGATAATTAGTAAAATAAATTTTTGATTAAAATAGAAAATAATTGCATTATGTGTTTTACAAATTGAACTTTCTGTAAATTACTTATTGTTAGAGCATAATTTATGAGCCAGGCAAAATGGCAAAGAAAAATAATCAACATGCAACAATCTCCAAGGCAAGTGTTGGATTTCAGATTCTCGTCCTTGCCTGGCAGTTGCGCATCGCTCTCGTAACTTCTTTGTTTGCAGCAATAAATCAATCAATTCAAGTCGTTTTCTGCCGTGTCCCAATGACCGGCGCGTCAACAAACCTGATAGTTTGTTTAGTCTGTGTCGCGTTTTTGGCCAAATTAGCCCCCCGGAGCAGATATCGGAGCCAGAGCGAATATGGGCGTGCAGTGTGTTGTTGGAATTTGTTTTCCTCGTTCAACGTGTCTGAAGAGCGGACAAAAGAGACCCTCAAGTGGTCGTCGGGCTGCGCCGTGTTTTCTATTCACCAGATCACAATGAGCGATATTGCACGGTGTATGTGCAATATCTCATTATACACGCTCCTCTCGCATAAATTTTGTGCAATGCAACTTTTCAAAAACTATAGGAAACCGTCAAAGAGCGGATTGTGTGCCTATTTTAGTAATTTTACTTGGAAATAATAGTAGATTCATTGCAAATAATTCGGGGCAGTAAAAACATACTTACAATAATTACAATTTAATTGATATATTTTAAAATTTGTATTATGTTATTTATAATAACTAGCTCTACCTTTATATAAATTTTGATGTTAAAAAATTGAAAAATAGAACATTTTTTATGGGAAATTTATGAATTTGGCTTAATTTGATTTCCGTAAGAATAAATTATAATATTTTCGTAATACAATGAAAAAACGCAATGCATTTTTTTCTTGTGCAAAATAACACTTTTATTTTAATTTAAAAATAGCCAAATTTAAATTCGAAATCAAACTCCTGTTTTTAACAACTTTAAATTTTATTTTTGCTAAGTCCATGAAAGAGAGTTCAAGAAATAAATATTATGAATATTATGGTTTTTTTTCGCAGTTTTTTCCACGAGATTCAAATTGCCACTCTGCAAAAAGGCTGAATAACCAAGCGCGAACAGAAAGCCTGTGGGTATTTCCTAGCAGGCTAACAAGTCATACAGGTGTTTGAATATTTTGTGCTGATTTGGCGATAAGTCGCACACACGGGCCGAAGTTTGAATGCACTCGGATTGTTAGCCGGGCGGGCGGCCAGTGATTATTATGCGTGTCTTGCGTGCCAGATCACAAAACTCACTCGCTCTCTTATTTACCGGCCGGATCGATAGTCCGCCTGCTTAACTACCAGTATAAATAACAATATATACACTCGCTTTCCAGCAGCTGGAGGCAGAAACGCGATTTCTGTTTGTGTGTGTGTAAAATAAAATAGGGGAAAATGTTGCATGGTCAAGGAGTGTATGTGGCATGGCTGGAAAAAAAACAACAGCGTCAAAACTTGAGCTCCAAATTGCTCCGATTACATTCGTCGCGACGAAATGGAGAAATTCCAAATGCTGGGCGAGACCATTAGCTGTTGCCCTACGTGTACTTGATTGCTTGCAAACTTGCTAAAAATTCAGAAACTAAATGGCCTTTTAATGTCATTTACTTTACTTCAAGTGCAGATGTGAAATTACTTAATTTTATAAATGCATTTTCATGATGACCCCATCAATTAAATTCAAAAATGAAATAAATATAGTAATATTAAAATTAGAAGAAGCATCACAAATTCAAATAAAAATTCAAACTAAATTAATCAGTCTTTTTAATTAAAACTGTATATGAAGAACATCGTATTTTGATAGAAAATTTCACTTACAAATATGATGAAATGGCTTTTAAAAATTACTGTTTTGATTTGCAGCTCTTTGGGCTTCATAATATTCCAAACTAATGTTTACATCTTTTCTGAATATTTTCTTCCAAATTTAAACTTGACTTTTAACAAGAGACTTTAACTGCTAAATAATGTTGAAACGTTTTTACTGCGGTTTCCTTTTTTATTCAATATATAGCTTCAAATTTACTTACAATAAGACGATTCGTGAAGAATGAACAATAATTTAAGAGATGATTGGATAAAAATTAAATAGTATCGAATTCAGATCTTTTAAACAAGCAAATAATATTAAATTTATTTTTACATTTTGGTGTTTCTTTAATTTAAAATTTTTAAGAACTCAAGAGTCAAGAGTGTTGTGCAAATTTCCATCAGGTTTAAATTTCAAATCTCCAGAGTTCTTTTAAATAGATGTGAAATGATTATAAGACGAAACGAAAAATGAGCTTTTTGGCCCTTAATAGATGCCAAAGGGTTGTCGAAACCGGTCGAAACAAGCCCTAGTCGCTATTATTTTGGAAAGGCCCCACGCCGACAGTCCATTAAACGGTGTTTTGTGTATCTTTTTAGTACAAAATAAATAAATTTTTCCACACCCACCCGGCACTGTGCACACGGTATTAATTAGCCACTCTTGCTCAAACGCTGCGTGATCAATATTCAAGTGATGACGTCAGAGAGGAAGAATTGCTTTTAATTGTTGGATAGAGAGAGACGCTTTTGCCACTACACACACCCCCAGCATACACACACATGCATTCTGGCTCTAAATTTAGCAAACGGTGACGCACGCTGGGTAAACAATGGGGAAAGATTTGACACGAGCAGATCAGTGGTTTTCAAGAAGAGCAAACTTGAGTATGAGGGATTAAAGTACTAAATATTTTTGAACGGGCGCCAAAAAGTTGGTCTCTCGGACAAATCTCAACTAACGACCCGCGAATTGGTGGCAAAAATGTGCCGGCGACGCCCCACGCGGTCGATGGACACCCTTACAAAACCTGCGAAAGCCGACTCTTAATTGCTGTTGAATTGGACTAAAATAAAACGTGCGAAGTATATTTTTGAATGAATTCGTCTTGAGCGGCGGCCAAAAGTGGCGACTTGATTTCTCGTGGGC